GAGGGAGGGAGAAAGATCTATTTTAAGGAATTGGCTTATGCAATCATGGAGGTACAAGTTCAAAATCTGCAGGCAGGCCAGCCGGCAGGAGACTCAGGAAAGAGCTGATGTTGCAGTTCAAATCCAAAGGCCATCTGCTGGCATGATTTCCCCTTGCTTGTGAGAGGCCAGTCTCTGTTATGTTAAGGTCTCTGGCTGGTTGGATGAGCCTGTTCGCGTTATGGAGGGCAAGTGCTTTACTCAAAGTCAACTGACTTAAATGTTAATCTCGTCCAAAAATATTCCCACAGAAACATGCAGAATAATGTTTGCACGAATATCTGGGTACTGTGGCCCTGTCAGGTTAACTCATAAAATTAACCATCCTGCTGGTGACCCTGGGAAAGTCACTCAATTTCCTTGGGCATAAGACTCCTTATCTATAAAATAAATATAATGAGTCAGCATATCCTATACTGCACAAAATTGCCGTGAGAATCAAATGAAATAATGCATGCCAGTGCTGTGAACAGTGCCGGACGAAACAGCTGCAGTGTGGCCGTGGGGTCATCCACATTCCTTCAAGGGCACTTGGCTCCTTCCCCCTCATCTGTGTCCTCCTTCCCCCTCATCTGTGTCCTCCTTCCCCTCAGGTGGCAGGAAATGGGGCAGATGTGAGAAGGTCCCTGGTCCCTCTATGTGGTCTTCCTAAAGAGCAAAATTCCCAAGAGTTCTTAGTAAAAAGACCCCAGCTTCTGTCCAGTCTCAGCTTTACTGCTTTCTCTAAGACGCTGGCATTTCTCTTCTCCCAGGCAAGGTTTTCTTATTCGGAAATTGAACATGTTTAAATGTTTAATGTATTCATTAAGCTCTCACCATATGCCAAGCCTGGACTCATTCTGTTGGATACATCATTGCATTTAATTCTCACAACAGCCACTGTGGATGGACATGATCAGCTCACTTTACAGATGAGGAAACTGAGGCTCAGACAGGTCAGGGACCCAGGGCTGTTGCTGCAGACAGAGTTAGGGTCCCTCTCAGTGTCGGCAGCCAGGGCTCTCTGACTCTTACACGTTCTGGCAGCATGTCCCCTTGGGGGACACTCACAGAGACTCAGCCCTGAAAATAGCAACTCTTAAAATATTAATCCACTGGAAGGTCTCCACGTCGCCTCTGCTTTGAAACCAGGGCACCCACATTTCTAGTAAAATCAGGAAAAAAAAATCTTCTCGTTTTGTGGGGCTACCCTGGGGCCTGCAGTCAGCCGTGGGTGGGTGAGTGTGAGTGTCCGGGGTTGGAGGGTGTGTGTTTTTCCACTGATCTGTGCCCACTGCGCCAGCTTGTCTGACTCCTACATGCATATTCATGCTGTGCCTCAAGAGGTGATGCTCCTGCCCTCCTCCCCATCACGGGAGTCAAACTGAACATGCCTGGCTCCAGGCGGGCCCGTGGGATTCACCAGCATTACAGTCATCCCAACCAGCTCCCGTAGGGATCCGAGCTGACCACTGGCTATGCCTACATGCTGGAGGGCAGCGACTAAGAATTCAAAAAAAATCCTCCCCTGAATGAGCCCAGGACTCATAGCCTCCCATTGTGCGTCAACTCAGTTGATCTTTCTTGCCTCAGAGCACAGCAGGGCTCTCAAACCCCAGCAGGCATTGGAACTGCATGGAAGGGGCAGGGGCGGGGGTGGGCACTTGTGGGAAATGTAGATACCAGGCCCTGCCACAAAGGTGGAGGCTGTGACCGGCCTGGGGTGTTGCATTGGTAATAGGGACCCTTGTTTCTGAAACTACTAGTCAGTGGACTCACTCTGAAAGGCCTCAGCAAGGGGCAGGGCCATCCTGAGTCCTGAGCCTCTGGGGCTGTCTGATTCATCCATTCAACTATCCATACAACTCTTTATGGAGTATTTTTGTGGCAAACACTGTTGTAGGTCCTGGTGATACAACAGTCAAGGGATAAAGTCCCTGCTGTCATAGTTTTACATTCTAATGGGGAGAGAGACACAACAAGCAGATACAGTGACAGGCGTGATAAGGACATGGAGAGAAATGAAGGAGGGGAGGTGATAGGGAGTGCTGGGGAGCTGGGCACTCAGCATAGGGAGAAAGAAAGAGGCCCTGTGCATATCTGTGCAATGGACCTTCCAGGCCAGGTAACAGCAAGGCAGAGGCCATGGGGTGGGACAGTGCTTGGCCCAGCAGACCAGTGCAGCCAGACAAGTGAGTGGAGAGAGGTGGAGGGGGCAGGCCCAGCTCATCAGGGGCTTGGAAGCCTTTGAGAGTACCTGCATCTTACTCTACAGAGGAGGCCTGAGAAGGATATGGGTGGAGGGTGACAGCTCTGCCCTGGTGAGCATGGGCTGGAGAGGAGAGGGAAAATGCAGGAACACTGGAGGGGAAAGTGCTCTGCAGGCAGAGGCAGGAGGGTTTGCTGTAGAGGCGGATGTCAGATGTGGACAAGAGCAGTCGATGGTGACACCAAGACTTTGGGAATAAAAGCTGCTGGAGGTTTGAAAAGAGAGAGGATGTCCTCTAAAAGACAGGATGAATGGACGAGGAGGATATCAGGGGTTGGGGAAGCTTGAAGGACCCGTAGAGACACTGTTAGAGGTTGGGGATTTAGAGGGAAACTCACTTCCCTGGTTGTATTTTTCTCCAGCCATGTTCAGCTGGGTGGCTGCAGTGCAAAGACATCAGGAAATAGAAATTAACCAGGCTTTGGGTTCTGCCAGGTGAACAGGCAAGGGAGTCGGGCATGTGGGAAGGTTTGACTTTAGTGAGAGACCATGCAGCATGGGCTGATGCAGAGTGGGTGATGACCCTGGCGGACAGCAAGGAGGTAGAAGGTGGTGGATTGTGGGTGCCCGTGGGACTGAAACAATGGAGGAAACAAAAGGGAAGGGTCTGTGATGGTTCCAGAGTGGGGTGTCTGGAGCCAGGAAAGGCCAGGTGTGGCCATGGAGTGAGTGGTTGAGGCAGGCAGAGATGGAGATCCTGGGAGGATGAAGAGTCAGGAATAAGAGGCCAGACGCCCAGGTGCACGGTTGTTGCCATCACCAAGGTCATTGCTGGAGTTGAGTTGCAGATGGCAACAGTGACCAGGAGCAAAGCCCTCGAGGTGTGGTGGGACTTTTCTGAGTGTCCACAGGAGACTGCATCAAGGAAGGAAGGGATGGGTGACATGATGGACCCCACTCTAAAGATGGTGGAGGTTGGATAGGAGGGAGGAAGGGTGATGCCTTCCCTCCTGGCCAGAGCTAGAGAGAACGGGGAAGGAGGACAGGTGGGTTTAGGTTAGGGCAAGAGGGTGGGGGAAATGTTCAAAGTGGGGGACCTCATGCTGACCACAAATCCTGGAGAGACATAGGAAGGCTCTGGCACCAGGCAAGTGAGGGAAGAGGTCAGATTGGGGGATGTGCCTGTGTTTAGGACAGGATTCTAGGAAATGAGAGTGGCTCTGAATCCCTGTGCCCAATGTAAAGCGATAAAGGGCAGAATGAGACATGCCCCATGGTTCCAAGGTGGGTGACAGAGGTGAGGTTGTGTGTGCTGGAGAGGGGCGGTTCAGCATTTGGCTGGGCGTTCTGCGCCCCCTCCGCTCCCACAAGTGGAGGTGGCCACATAAGGAAAGGGCAGTGTTTCCGGAGGCCAGGCATGCTCTGGCAAGATTACTAGTTTGGAGTTTTATCACCCAGGAAATGAAATGACCACACTCCTCCCAGGCTGTTGTGAAGACAGGTGTGGTGTGTACCCCTTTGCCTCTGCAAAGATCTCCAGGTCGTTTGTTGCACTTAGAGCAGAGATCCAAGGCTCCTGCGCCCAGTCCATCCTCCTGGAACCCATGTGACCTCCTGTGCTGCTCCACCTCTCATGGCCTATAGTCCCCACACACACCCCCAACACACAGCCCCATCCCCAGCTTCACTTAAAGGCCCCACCCACAGCCTCATCCACAGCTCCAACCACAGCCCCACCCACAGCCCCAACCCACAGTTCCACCCACAGCCCCCACCCACAGCTCCACTCACAGCTCTACCCACAGCTCCACCCACATCACCACTCACAGCTCCACCCACATCACCACTCACAGCTCCACTCACAACTCTACCCACAGCTCCACCCACATCATCACTCACAGCTCTACCCACATCACCACTCACAGCTCCACTCACATCACCACTCACAGCTCCGCCCACAGCTCCACCCACATCACCACCCACAGCTCCACCCACATCACCACCCACAGCTCCGCCCACAGCTCCACCCACATCACCACCCACAGCTCCGCCCACAGCTCCACCCACAGCTCCACCCACATCACCACCCACAGCTCCACTCACAGCTCCACCCACAGCTCCACCCACATCACCACTCACAGCTCCACTCACAACTCTACCCACAGCTCCACCCACATCATCACTCACAGCTCTACCCACATCACCACTCACAGCTCTACTCACAGCTCTATCCACAGCTCCACCCACGGCTCCACTCATGGCTCCACCCACATCACCACTCACAGCTCCACTCACATCACCACTCACAGCTCCACCCACATCACCACTCACAGCTCTACTCACAGCTCTATCCACAGCTCCACCCACAGCTCCACTCACAGCTCCACCCACATCACCACTCACAGCTCCACCCACATCACCACCCACAGCTCCACTCAGCTCTACACACAGTCCCCACCCACAACTCCACCCATAGCCCCTACGTAGAGCCCCCTCACAGCTTCCACACATACTCCACCCACATCCCCACCCACACCCTCACAGCACCTACCCAGAGCTCCCATATGCAGCCCAACCCATAGCCTCTACCCAGAGCTCCACGCACAGCTCCACCCACATCCCCACCCACAGCCTCCACCCACAGGTCCCACCCATAGCTCCTGGCCTTTGTCTGTGCTCCCAGGACCCCTCCCATCTCTCTTACACAGCTCCCTTCCTCTCCACCTCTATTTCCCTCAGAGTATCACATTATGCAGTTTTATCTTTGGCTGTCTCTTGTTTTCTTGGCTCCTGGATAAGCTCCAGAGGGCAGGTCTCAGTGTGTGTTGCGTGTTGGAAAGAGCTCCCGGCAGGGTTGAGTCCAGAGCCCAAGCATAGTGTAGGGTAGAAATGATGGGGCAGAGGGAGTGGGAATGAGAACCGTGGTAGAAGCAGGAACAGGTAATTCTCGGTGGTCCAAGAGCACTGGCCGTGGAGAAAGATCGATCTAGACTGAGCCCAGTTTGAAGCTCGCATATTTGTAATTGGACCAAGTAACTGAACGTCTCTCAGCTCCATTGTCTTCTTCTGTAAGGAGAGGAAGAAACACAATTATTTCTTAGGTCCCTTTGGCTCTAAAATACCTTTCTTGATGACTCAGATAAAATCCATACCATCAAGAAGTTTACAAGAGTCAGGAAAGCAAATTTCAAACCCAGCTCTGGCAGTAATTTCCCAGACAACCCACGGGAGTTGCTGAGCTCTTCCAGACATAGGTCCCTCATCTGGAAAATGACCCGATCATTCTGGGTGGTGGCTGGACCCTCCATTGAGTCCAGCTCTCGGATTCCAACAGAAGTCATGTGGATAGAGCCAGATTAGGCCTTGATATGGACTTGAGATCTTTCCCAAATTGTCCTTGGACAGCTGGATGAAGAACATAAAGCCGTAGCCTGAGCATCTTCACAGAAACAGGAAGCTCTCCAAGAGTCGCAGCGTCCGGCAGGCCCAGCCACTCGGAGCCCGCCGGGAAGGCCGGGTCTGGGAAGAAAATAGAGACCACATGATCCTGGCAAGATGCACACTGCTCAAAGTGAGTGACATCGGATGAGAGCTGGTGGCCCCTAGGAAAGCCAGGGCTCACAATGAACTATCAGGGAGTGCTGGGGGACCCAGCCTGGACCAGGGCCTGAGCCTAAAGCCAGGGCCAGATGCTGATTGACCCTGTATGGAGCCTGGGCCTCCCTGGGAACCTCTGGACTCAAATGCTGTGGAGTTCTGCCCAACATTCACCCAGTGTCTCATGACATGTTTACAGACGGGTAATGCCACTGTTGTCTACTGAACACTTGTTGGGTGCTGGGAGCTGTGCCAGGACTGCAAATCTAGGAATGGGCCCTGATTTGATGGAACTCAGCGCCTACTGGGAAGGACAAGGATCAGCCAGATAATCACACGAGCACATATACCCTGTGGTCACTGTCATGCCAGTGAAGTAACAGGGAAAATGCAGACGGCAACCTGGTGTACCTGTAGGGTCCAGCCCTGCAGGGTCCTTTGAGCCCCTCTCTGCTGGTGTGGAGACAAGAAACTAGAAATAAAAGACACAAGTCACAGAGACAGAGAAAAGAGAGTCTGGGCCCAGGGGTCCACTGCTAACCAAAGTGCGGAGTCCGGCCGTGGCCCCGAGTCTGCACACTCTGACTTTTATTGTGTACAAAGCTGGGGCAGGGTAGAGAGGGCGTGGCCTTGGTGGTCAGTGATAGGATCAAGTACATCACGTGTCATATAGGTGGGGGCCCAAGGCTTTCTAGTAGCCGAGATGAGGTAAGGAGCATAATGCATCAGCACTTTTCCATACCTGTCAAGAAAGAACAAAGACATTAAGATTGATATTACTTTTACTGATTATCTCTTCTAAGAAAAAAGGAACCAGGTGCAGAAGCAGAACATGAGAGTGGACATGGAACGTGACCACTGAAGCACAGCATCACATAGACACAGTTAAGCCCCCGGATGTCTGCATGCCTCCCTGACAGCGTCAGGTCTACTGCAAGAGCTTGGAGGAGTGGAGTTTTCTCCCAACTCTCCCGAGGAGGAAGATGTCTCCGCCATCTTGGACATCTCCTTCCCTAGCTGGCTAAACAGCAGGCGCTTTCCCAGCGCTGGTGCTGCTGCACAGCCGAGGCGCCCTCCAGCAGCCCTTACAGGGGCGTGACAAGGGTTTAGAGCATCTTACCTTAGGGTCGTTCCTTTCACAATGTCACCCCAGGTTCACACTTGGTGACCTGAGAGGCATTAATAAAAGAACTAAGATCACCTATGAGTAACTAAGATCACGTGTGAATAACTAAGATCGCATATGAATGACGACTGCGGTTATATCTCTGGTTATTTTCTTCTTCATTATTTCTATGGGAATAGGCTGAGGCTTCTGACTCCTGTCTTGGCACTTATGCGGTCTCCCCTCCACATGCACCCAGGGCTTGAAAGAGGGCTTCTTGGAGGGAGTGATGCCAAATCTGAGAGTTGATGGGTGCAGAGGAGTTGACTAGGCAGAGGTGGTGGGCTAGAGGAGAGTGCTCCAGCCATGCAGGCAGACACAGGGCCATGGTGTATTTGAAGCATACACAGGTCAATCGAGTGACTCTGCCCCTAACATCTCTACCCCACCCAGAGGATGGAAATGGAAGAGTACCAGATGGGCATCGGAGGAGCTGGGCTCAAGTCATGCTTCTGCCACTGCTTTTGTTTTTGTTTTTGTTTTTTAGGCAAAGTTTGGCTCTTGTTACCCAGGCTGGAGTGCAATGGCACAACCTTGGCTCACTGCAACCTCTGCCTCCCAGGTTCAAGTGATTCTCTTGCCTCAGCCTCCTGAGTAGCTGGGATTACAGGCACCCTCACCACACCTGGCTAATTTTTGTATTTTTTAGTAGAGATGAGGTTTCACCATATTGGCCAGGCTGGTCTCAAACTCCTGATCTCAGGTGAGCCACCTACCTTGGCTTCCCAAAGTGCTGGAATTACAGGCATGAGCCACTGTGCCCAGTCCCTTCTGCTACTTTTTAACTGTGACCGTGGAGAAGTCACTTCATCTCTCCAAGCTGCAGTTTTCTTATCCGTCAAAAAGAAGATAATGCTGGTCCTCTAAGACTGGCAGGTGGATTAAATAAATCCCAGTGTGGGAAGGGGCTTTGTGAACGGCAAAACTGCACAAATGTGACAAATGGTCATCATCACTTGGGAGTCAACTCTTCCTTGTTTCCTTCTGCCACCTCCTTTTCCTTCCAAACTCCCTGCTAAGTAGGGATGGGTGCAGGGGACAGGAGAACTAATCATCATTTATTGGACATCTTTTCTATGCTAGGAACTGCATAAGTCCTTGACACACATTATTTCATTTTATACCCATTTTACAGATGAGAAAAACTGAGACCCACACAGTATTAGAGTAAGGATTTGAACTGCTGTTGGTGTGTAAAGGGCTTCAAAACGTGACCCATACTCAACAGGCTCTCTTAGAGTCACTGCAGGACTGTAGGACCCTAGCTGTCCACACCCATCTGTTGTTTTCCATGTGCTACTGCCATGTCTCCAGCCTTGGGGAGCTCAGGGCCTGGCGAAGCAGGCTGACTTACAGATTTATCATTCCAATTCAGTGTTCTAGTTGAAAGTAGAAAGAAATAGAACTGAGTTGAGTGGGTCTGTGCAGGCTACGTGGACTGAGGGGGTCCGAGCTTCTTAAGAAGATGATTCCCTCGTTGGCCCAAGGGAGGTGTGTCACAGGGCTCACCCATCCATGAAGGAATTAACTGAGCCTGGTGCATCCTCGGACACGTTTGTGAGTCCCAAAGCTTCGAAATCTCCATGAGATACACTTGGGAATAATTAGCTGAATGCAGTTGCCTTAGTAGCCAAGTTAACATCGGGCCCCACGGAGTGGCACAGCTTTTGAACTGTATTAATCGTTGCCAACCATGATGATGTTTGTTCTCTGCAGGATTAAAGAAAAATCAACAACCCCAAGCATGGCTTGACTGGATATACTTTCTCTCCCAAAGGATAAAGCAGGAAGAAAATGATTTGAGTAGCAGCATGGGGTTTTACAATAGAAATAAGACAGAACTATGTAATTAGGCTGTGTGTGTATATTTTAAAAATTGCTTCCATGTCTTCAGATGAAGCCATGGTTGTCTAACTGATATATCCTGGCTGTCCCACCTCTGGACTCTGTGAAGACTGCTCTCACCTTGCTTTTGTTGTCCAGTAAAATAGGGGTGACAAAACTGCCTACCTGTGTTTGTCTGCTAAAGCTGCCCTACAGAATACCACAGGACGGGCAGCTTAAACCACAGAAGCTGATGTTCTCACAGTTCTGGAAGCTGGAAGTCCAGGATAAGGGTGCCCACAGGGCTGGTTTCCTCTGAGGCCTCCTTGGCTTGCAGATGGCCACCTTCTTGCTGATCTTCACAAGCCCGTTCCTCTGCACACAGGCCCCTGACACCTTTCCATGCATTCTGCTCTACTCTTCTTGCAAGGACACCAGTCAGATCGGATTCAAGTGCACTCTGATGTCCTCACTTTACCTTAATCACCTCTTGAAAGATCCTGTCGCCAAATACAGTTGCATTCAGAGACATTGGGAAGAGGGACCTCCACATAGGAATTTGGAGGAACACCATTCAGCCCATCATACTATCTGGAAGGGCTATGGGGTAGACTGAAAATGGCCCCCCAAAGATGCCAGATCTTAATCCTTATAACCTGTGCCTGTGTCACCTGACAGGGCAAAAGGGACTTTGCAGCTATGATTTAGGTAAGGATCATGATGTGGGAAGATTCTCCTGGATTATCCAGGTGGGCCCAGTGGAATCACAAGGCTCCTGCCAACAAGCAGGTGATAGGGTCAGAGAAGGAGTAGGAGATGTCGCTGCAGGAGCAGAGGTGGGAGTGCTGCAAGGAGGGACCAGCAGCCAGGGAACCTGGGCAGCCTCCAGAAGCTGAAAAGCCAAATCACAGAGCTCCTCTGTGGGCTCCAGAAGGAGAGCACGCAGTCTGTTCACTCTTGATTAGGCCCTGAGGCTCACTTTGGACTTGTGGCCTCCCGAACTATGAGAGAATGGTGTGTTTGGTGGAATGGTGTGTTTGGTGGAATGGTGTGTTTGGTGGAATGGTGTGTTTGTTTGGTGGGATGGCGTGTTTGGTGGAATGGCGAGTTTGGTGGAATGGCGTGTTTGGTGGAATGGCGTGCTTGGTGGAATGGCGTGTTTGGTGGAATGGCGTGCTTGGTGGAATGTCGTGTTTGGTGGAATGGTGTGTTTGTTTGGTGGAATGGTGTGCTTGGTGGAATGGCGTGTTTGGTGGAATGGCGTGTTTGGTGGAATGGCGTGCTTGGTGGAATGGCGTGTTTGGTGGAATGGCGAATTTGGTGGAATGGCGTGTTTGGTGGAATGGCGAGTTTGGTGGAATGGCGTGTTTGGTGGAATGGCGTCTTTGGTGGAATGGCGTGTTTGGTGGAATGGCGAGTTTGGTGGAATGCCGTGGTTGGTGGAATGGCGTGTTTGGTGGAATGGTGAATTTGGTGGAATGGCGTGTTTGGTGGAATGGCGTGTTTGGTGGAATGGCGTCTTTGGTGGAATGGCGTGTTTGGTGGAATGGCGAGTTTGGTGGAATGGCGTGTTTGGTGGAATGGTGAGTTTGGTGGAATGGTGTGTTTGGTGGAATGGTGTGCAGTGTCTCTCCATTTGTAGTGATCTTTACTGCACATGCGAGTCCCTGATACAGGCAGTTGTGAGGATTTCACAAGGAGCACATGCCAAACGCCTGGGACAGTCATTGGTAGAGAAGACACACTCGATAGGGCTCGACTCTGCTGGCCACAGCTCAACCACAGCCATCCCAGTTACAATGGGCAGTTTGGGCAGAGAGGCCTTATTGACAGAAGCTGCAGAATGTCCCTTTTCACATGGATGCTTCCTGCCCCATTTGTCAAGGTGAAGTCAAGGTCCCAGAGGGTTGAGGACCCTGGAAGCTTTACAAGCTTCAAAGTCAGAGTAGGCCATGTTCAGCAGTTATGTAAGCTCTTTCATTTTTTCATATTTTCAGCAACCTTTTTCTGAATAGCAGCCTGGCCCCGCTCAGAGGGCTGGTGCTCCCGTGATCCCCCTGCCTCTGTCTTCACATGGTCTTCTCTGTGTATGTGTGTCTCCCGGCAGCAGGGAGTAAATGGACAATGTCAAGCTGTACCATCAGGACCAGGACGTAGGAAAGCAGGGAGGGGCAGGGGGCCAGAGGAAGTCTTTAGGTAGCACAGACTGAGTGGCTTTAATCAACAAAAGTGTATTCTTTTACAGTTCGGGAGGGGAAGCCAGAAGTCCCAAATCAAGATGTGGGCACAGCTGGTTTTCCTGGAGGCTCTGAGAAGCCCCCCGACATCTCTCCCAGTTTCCAGTGGTCCCAGGAAACCCGTGCTGTGTCGTGGGCTGTTGGATACATCACTCCACACACTGCCTCTGTCCTTGTGACCTTCTCCTCTGTGTCTACCTGTGTCTCTTTTCTCCCTTCTTATAAAGACACCAGCACTGGATTTAGGGTGCACCCTAGTCCAGGACAACTTCCTCTTAACTTAGATGCAAGACAGAACTACCTTACTAGCAAAGTGATAGTTTTCTGGCAAAGACACCATTTACTGGCACATATAGACACACACTTTCCTGCAAAGACACTATTTCTAAATAAGATCACATTCTCAGATACCTGGGTGACATGAATTTTTCAGAGACATTTTTCAGCCCTCGACAGTATCCCAGAAGGAGATTGCAACTGAGCTGTGTCCTAAAACCTGGGTCAGAGTTCAGTAGGGAGAAGGATGTGCTCTCCAGAGATAAGGCCAGGGAAAGACTGAGGCATCCAGAGCACCCAAGGTGGTCTGACCACAAGGCACAGAGGGCCAAGCCTACAGGCAAGATCAGGAAATGCCTGAAGGCCTTCGGAGTCTGGCTATTGGATCAGAGCTTTCTAAACACTTGACCACGAATGGGCCTGGGGCATGTGGCAGCTGTGCTTCCATCTAAACGTGTCTTTGTGATGCTTCTGGGCTAGAATGGCTCCCTCTGCATCCCCTCTCATGTACGTATGATGGGGATTATCGTCAATGACCTTAGTTGTCAGATTTTCAAGTTGACAAGCACATCTCAATGCTCACTTTTCATCTCTGGATTATCCTGGGACACCAGCACCATACGCGCCACAGGGCCATTAGGAGGATTTATGTAGAAAAGGGACAGGTTCACATTTGTGCTCTGTAAGGACATTTGAGTCACATTAAACAAGAACTGCAACCTTGCATGTGGGCGGTGTAATAAACGAAAAGTTTCCTGAAATGGGAGTAACATTTTTAAAAACCAAATCAGAACGGGCACAGTGGCTCACACCTGTAATCCCAGCACTTTGGGAGGCTGAGGTGGGTGGATCACTTGGGGTCAGGAGTTTGAGACCAGTCTGGCCAGCATGGTGATACCCTTTCCCTACTAAAAATACAAAAATTAGCTGTGTGTGATGATGCATACCTCTAATCCCAGCTACTTGGGAAGCTGAGGCACGAGAATAGCTGGAACCCAGGAGGTGGAGGAGGTTGCGGTAAGCCAAGATCACACGACTACACTCCAGTCTGAGTGACAAAGCGAGACTCCATCTCAAAAAAATTAATTAATTAATTGAAAAATGAAATCAGATCTTTATTATAAGTATGTTCCTCAGATTATTACTACCTACTTTAGAATTCTGGCAATGCTAATTCTTTTTTTTTTTAATTTCCCCACCCATAGAGACAGAACATTGATCTAGAGACCAACTTGAGAGTAGGTCTTATCTCCACCAGTGTTTGACCTTTGACAAATCACAAGCGAGAACCAGACACATCACCGAACCTCTGTCAATAGTTCTCTCTTTATCAGTAAAATAGGAGTAGCAATACCGGTCTCTAAGAGTTGTGTGAAGATGGTGACATAGGGAGTGCCTCCCCAGCACCTGATAACAAACAGCCACGTCGCACATGGCTAAATCCACATAACACTCATCAGTTTGTCCCTGACACACAATCAACACTCAGTAAAGTTTACCTGTTAATACTGTCAGTACTGCTTTTAACGCTGAAGCATTGTGTTGGAGACTGCTGTTTGTACATGGTCCCCCCTCCACAGGAGCAGGAGACAGAAGTGAGAAAGAAGTAATATTTAATGAGTAGAGATGATATGTTGTCATTTCTTCATCGTTGTTAATTTCTAGAAGAACAATCCACGCCAATATGGTGAGAGATTCTAAAACATGAGAACAAAGATCCTTAGCGTCCTGTTCCACATCCGCTTGCTGGTGGATGGGTGCAAAGTCCCATTCAAACTGAGGTCAACAGTCAAGGTGAAGCCCTCCCATTCTTTCCAACCCCCAGTAAATGTCTTTGGCCATCCTTCCCAGTGCCGATCCTGTTGACTCAACCTCCTACTGAAATGTCTTTATCACACCCTGTTATTGTTACTAGTAACAGTCGTGCCTTTCCATGTGCCTGGCCATGTGCTGGTTGATGTCATGAGAACCATCTCATCCAATCCTCACTATAACCATAGAGCGGGCGTTATCATCCAGCTTACACGTGAGGAAGCTAATGCTCACCGTGTTAGTTCATTCTCACATTGTTATAAAGAAATACCGGAGACTGGGTTGTTTATAAAGAAAAGAGGCTTCATCGACTCATGGTTCTGAAGGCAGGACAGGAAGCACGGCCGCATCTGCCTGGTTTCTGGGGAGGCCTCGGGAAACAACTTACAACCATAACAAAAGGCAGAGTGGACGCAGGCACGTTTTACATGACCGGAGCAGGAGCGTGAGAGTGTGGGGAGGGGCTACACACCTATCACTATCTCACTGTCGTGATAACACTATCATGACAATGGCACCAAGAGGATTGTGCTAAACTGTTTAGGAGAAACCAACCCCATGATCCAGTCACCTCCCACCAGGCCCCACCTCCAACACCGGCAATTACAGTTCAACAGGAGACTTGGGCGGGGACAGAGATCCTAACCGTAGCACTTACCGGGGCAGCGTGCCCTGTTTGCATGGCCAGCCAGAGGCAGGGTCAGGACGGGATCTCGAGTCTCTCTTCTCCGTCCTTTGCTACCTCCCGCTCCCTCCCGCATGCATACGGATAACATGTTCCCTTCCCTAGTGGTGAAATAGCCACAGATTTTTGCTTCACTTAGTCTACCTTTGCCCTCCAAGTTTTTGTATTTATCTCTGCTGCTGCGTAAGGTTGCCAGCATAGAATATTGAGAAACCCCCTGCCAAAAGGCACATGCAGAAATGTCCTGGTGGTCCTGCTTTGCAGTCTGGTCATGGGTACCTGTGGATCAGAGCCGTTTCTATGCTGTTTTTTAAAATAGCCCAGCTGACATTTTGTGCTTCGTTTTATTTGAGGGCTGGGGAATAATTCAAGAGCAGCACCAGGTTTTATAGCCCTGCATGCATACTTTCCATCAAAGTGTCATTTTGCCTAGCTCTGAAATTATGGGCCTGTCCTCAGAAAACATTGTCAGCACCTTCCCATCCACGCAATGCTCCTAATGCCCTTTCTGATCGTTCAAACCCATTTTCAACAGGATGACGTGCTGGAGCTGAGATATGATCGATATAAAAAACAGAGCTGGAGGAAACGTTCCTGAAACCGTCTAAACTAAAGGCACTGCTAAGATACTTTACCCAGAAAATGCTATTCTTATTAAATCACAGTGACTCAGATTCTCCATCTCCTCCACGCAGCTTTGCAGGCATCTGCCCAGCGAGTCTCCTGTGAAAGAGACCTAATTTGCTAAAAGCTCGGGAATCTGCCAGTCTGCCTTTGACTTCTCCCCAGCTCCTTTTAAAAGAGCAGTGACAGTCCCATCGCTGTGACTTATTTCAGCACTTCTTCCTCGCCGCACTGGGACTGTGCAGAGTGCTGAACAAATGTCATCTCATTGTCCATTCAGCAACAGTGAGATAGCCGCTGCTGTTCCCATTTCCCAGATGAGGAAAACAAGGCTCAGAGTAGGTGGCCTCAGATTATATAGCCAGAGTATTAGTTTTCTATTGCTGTGAAACTAATTACCACTAACTTTACAACTTGAAATAACTCACATTTATTTTCCCTCCGTTTCGGTGGCCCAGGAGTCCAGGGGGGCTTAACTGGATTGTCTGCGGAGGATTTCACAAAACTACAATCCACACGCCCACCCGGCTGCATTCCTTTCTGGAACATGGGGTGGGGTCCTCTCCCAGGCTCTTGTGGTTGTTGGCAGATTTCAGCTCTTGTCGCTGCAGGACTGAGGTCCCGTTTTCCTGCTACCCATTGCCCGGTGGCCACTCTTCCTCCCAAGGACACCTAGATTCCCTGCTGTGTGACTGGCTCTCACATGGCAGCACATGTCTTGAGGTCTCACTCCAGTCTGCCAGGACAGAGTCATATAATGTAATGTCATCCCACCAACTTTGCCCTGTGACATAACTGAATTAAGGGGTGACACCCATCACCTTTGTCACCTTCCATGTCTAGAACCACATCGCAGGCCAGATGATTTATTCTCTCACCCTCCTCCTTCCTCATCTGCAGAATGAGAACTTGCCCCCTAGATGGTGCACAGATGGCTTTTTCTTGCCATTCAGATGTCAACCCAAAGTCACCGCTTCTTAAAGGTCTTCCTGACCTTCTGCCAAAACTAGGGACCCTCTATTGGTCTCTTTTCTAGACTCTGCTTTCTTCACCTGCTACAATGAACAATCCTGCGATTTATTCATGTGCCTTCTGGCCTGCCTCTCCTCCTAGAATGCAAGCTCCATTTGGCTGGGTCTGTCTTGTTCATGACATGCCTTCACGACCACAAAGGGGAAACTCTGTAAATGCTTGAGATTCCAGTCTGTGCTAAGAGCCAGTACAGAGGCAACGTGTGTTATGTATCAGATATTTAATCCACACAGCAAAGGAAAGTCAGGCAGAGACGGGAATCACGCAGATAGTCAAAGGCGAGGCTGGCGTTGGAACCCAAACTGTCTAGCTCATGGGCTGGACTCTCCCAAACAGGGCAGCCCCTTTCCTTGGATCTGTGGGGTCTAGGGACCAAGCTGGCCACATCTGTGCCCCATTCTGTTCGCAGGATATGAGACACTGTGAGCAGGTGCAATGGAGATGTGGGGGTGGCCAGGCACTGGGCTTATCCAAGGCCATGCTGTGGTTAGCAGGGCCCTTGCTGCCCCTTGAGGTTTGCCCTCTTCTCCATCAGCTCTCCTTCCCTCATGCCAGTTGTGTTAGCTTCCTGGGACTGCCACAGCAAATTACTGCAAAATTGTCGGCTTAAAACAATACAAATTTATTCTCTCATAATTCCAGCTAGAAGTTCACATCAAAGTGGAATCGTGGCTGGGCTTCCTCTGGAGGCCCAGGAGAGAATTCGCCCCCTGCGTGTTCCAGCACCGGGTGGCTCTGGCGTTCCCGGCTTATGGCTGCATCACCCCAGCCTCTGCCTCCATCTCCTCACAGCCTTCTTCTCTCCTGTGTCTGTATCCAAATCCCTCCCCGCACTTTCCTCCTATAAAGACACGAGTCTTTAGAGCCATCCCTAAATCCAGGATGATTTATGTTGAGATTCTTAAGTAATTACCCCTGCAAAGACTCCATTGCCACATAGGGTCCCGCTCTGAGGTACTGGATGGACATGAATTTTGGAGGGACACCATTCAACCCAGTATACCAGATCACGTCTTCTTGGGTCTGTCATCCCACCCTCACCTCACCTGTGTCCTGACTCTAGCTCTGTCTTTAGGCTACAGCCCTTGTAGGCATTTTATAGCCCCCACTTCCTGGGCCACAGTCACCTCCTCCCTGGTCCCCACACCCCACATGAAATCATCTCAGTCCTGGTGATACTTTAAGAGATAAGCCTGAACGTTTGCTGCTATGTTTTCATTCTTGACTGTTAACCTATTTTCTTTCTTACCAACTTTTGATGAGAAACTCTGCTGGGAGCCACCTGGGCAGGGTCCAAGCATTTGCTGACTTGATCCACAAACACTTGACTCTAGGTCTTCCGCCTTTTGTTTTAATTGTATAAGTTCCCAAGTCCATCCTTCCCATGAGGCTCCCTACGGGTCTCTGCAGTAATCCCTTAGTTCACAGTGGAGGCTTTGTGACCTCAGCAGCAGGGGCCCATGTACTCAGTGCTTCTCAGTACTCACCGGCTTGCAAAGGCACAATGAAAATAAAAATTTAAATATGGAGGTTGAGTGCTTCTTTCATCCCCAAACCCATGGACATTGCATTGCATTACTACACTGAACCACAGCGTGTTTTCAGGTAGAATTCATATTTGATAAACTCGGGAGCAGCTGCTCTTTATTTTGAAGAAAGCTATCATTAGTCTCAGTAGATGTGACATTTGTTATAAATGAGTGAGAATTTATGCATTTGTCAAATCTGTGGTTTTAATGCAGAGCCCAGCAAATGTGTAGACGTCAGTAATAGGTAAGTTGAGCTTGAAGCCGTTCTTCTCTTCCTTTCATTCTTTCATTCTTACACGCAGTGGCGTTTTACGTGTGTCTACCACTGCGTCGGACACTGTGCTGGGTATGGGCTTGTAGATGCAAAGAAAGCAAAGCCTCAGCCCTCAAAATGTTTCACTTGGAATTGAGAGGCCCTTTGCTATCATGGTGATGTAGAGCAGAACTTTCCGGAAACTCCTCAGCCCAGATTTTGCCCCACATAGGTCACTATGTTACCCTTAAAAGAGGTCAGCACACTTTCTCCATAAAGGGCCAGGTAATAAATACTTCAGGTTTTGAGGGCCACGTTAGTCTCTGTTGCATGTTCCTCTGTGTGTGCGTGGGGTGTGCCTGTTGTTTTGTTTCTACAGTGCTTTAAAAATGTTGATGTGGTTCTTGGTTCTCAGGCCATACAAAGACTGGCCCAGGACTGGATTTGTCCGAGAGCTATAGTTTGCACATTTCTGACTGCCACAACTTAAAACCCTCATTAAGCTCTGCGGACGCCATGACACCTGCAGGGAGCTGTGGTGGGATGGCTCAGCTACCTCAGGGTAGGCAGGTGCCTCCCACTGCTGGTGCTGACCACATGCTCAGTGAGCAGTCACTGATGTTACCCTTACAACTGGAGCTGAGAGGCTAAAAACTAAGTATTGGCCAGGTGCGGTGGCTCATGCCTGTAATCCCTGCACTTTGCGAGGCTGAGATGGGCGGATCATGAGGTCAGGAGTTCAAGACCAGCCTGGCCAACACAGTGAAACCCCATCTCTACTAAAAATACACAAAATTATTCAAGTATAGTGGTGGGCACCTGTAATCACAGCTACTCGGGAGGCTGAGGCAGGAGAATCGCTTGAACCAGGGAGGCGGAGGTTGCAGTGAGCTGAGATCATGCCACTGCACTCCAGCCCACGTGACAGTGCAAGACTCTGTCTCAAAAACAAACAATGAAAAAGCTAAGAATATTCAGGAAAAAAATATTCAAACAATCTACTTGCACTTCCAGGAAAGAGAAGAGGCGGTAAGAACACAGGTGTCCCATTATCATACCAATCACTCTACGGCTCCCTGTCTGAGGCCTCAGGTCAGGAGGAGATGAGCAGCCTGGGTGTTGCCAGCATTTGTCCTGATGTACCTGTCGATATACTCATCTGTGAGTTCAGGAACCACATTACCAGCTTCTTTGTTTTCTTTTACAGAGATATCAAGCCAGACAACATCCTGCTGGATGAACATGGTAAGCCTGCTACGAATCCTTTTCAGGGACTCTCGGTGGAAAGTTTGAGGTACTGGGAAGTGGGGAGGGGGTGGGGGTTGGGTCTTGCTGAGTTGGAGATTAGGGTTGGCTAAAAACCTTCTCTTGTTTCAATCCTGGTGAATGGACATCTGTGTAAATTTCCGGTCCATGTCCTGCTGTGGTTAAGTTGAATCAAAGTTACTTAAAGTGTTCACATCTGAAGTCATTGCTGTTCTATCCCTATATGAGGAGGACAGGGCCGCAGTGAGGACGAGCATGGGGTCCCTGGGTTCTAACCCCCGCTCCTTCACCTATGAACGGGTGGGTTCAGGAGTCTCCCACCTCTCTGAGTCTCGATTTAATTTTCTGTAAAATGGGGAAAAGGCATCTCCCTTGCAGGGTGGTCATGGGGATGAAATGAGAGTGTATGCCTAGCAAGCAGAGTTTAATACTTGATAATCCACTAAGCATTTACTCATCTGTCGGCTATGTCAGGCTGCTCAAAATTTCCTTTATATGCACCCGAATCTTCTAGGCATCTTCTCAAGCTGATTTAGTAGGTCTGAGCTAGGACCGGACTCTGCAAAGTTGAGTCTGCAAAGCTCCCTGGTGGCTGATGCTGCTGGTCCATGGACCACACTTTGAGTAGCAAGGCACCAACGCAGTGGCTCTCCAACTCTTGCCTCATCAGAATTACCTGGGGGACCTGGTAAAAATCAGAGGTCAGGCCTTGTCCTGCTTCAGCAAGCCTGGGCTCCTATATTCTGGATCAGAATTCTGGGGATGGGATGCCCAACAAAGTTTAAGAACCGTGAGCCTAGGGCTCAGCCCAAGAACACTCGGTGGTCTTGACAATCAATTGTGGCTGATGCCAATAGCGGCCTTACAGCCTTGAAAACTAAATTCACTGGCACTGCTTCAGGGGCCCATCTCTCAGGGCCTAACATGGGGTTGGCTGGAGGGAGAAGGTGGGGATTCTTCTCAAGTAGGGATTCTCATCTGTGCTGGGACCTTCAAGGATGAATGTGTCAAGTTTTCCACGCAGCTCCCCCACTCTCCCTCCCTACTCCTGCAGGCTGAAGTCATGGTTTTATCTCAAAGCTCCTCTCAAACCTTCCATGTGCCAGCAGCATAGCTTGGGGCATCCTAGCCTCATAGTGTGCATCTTTATGTACAGGAGTGGTGGATGGAACCATTTGCATCTCTGCATCAGATGCTGGAACCACACTGAGTGCTTTTCAGGCAGTGAGGTTGAACTCACTGTGCTCCTGAATGGAAGGTCAGCAGCAGCCTCAAGATGCCTAGGGCATGGACAGAGCAGAAGATCCAAATCAAGTCAGGAGAGGAAGCAAAAGCAAGGTCTTCAGTTTGTATCTAAAAGTCAGGATCTTCAGATGTGGTGCTCAGCTGAGCTTCCAGCCAGCTGAGTGTCCTTGAGCAAGTGGCTGTGCCTCCATGTCTCAGCCTTCCCAGCAGGGACGCAGAAGTAATAGACCCATCTTGCAGGGTGATGAGAGTCTTGTCTCGGCTGAGACTCGAAATTCAGCCACCCGTCACAGTAAGCAAGTGCTCAGGAAGGGGTAGGTAACTCGCCCTCTTCCTGTCCCTGTCTCTGCTCAGGGCCAGGCAAGGTCAGATCACAGAAGCAAGATGAAGAGGAGGTGAGAAGACACAGACTGGTTCTTCATGGCAGCCTGGAAAGCAGGGGTCTGGAAGGCTGGATTCCCAGCAGCATCCTCAAGGCTCTGTCCTATTGATTAAGAGAAATTGCTAGGGGAAGACTTCCAGGACCTGCATAGCATCCCAGAAGCAAAATTCAGGCAGAAGCATGAATAGCAATAAGCCAGCCTTTGCACTGATGAGGAAAAGTGAGGCAGAGAGGCTGGGGGTAATCCAGGACTATCTGGCTTCATAGTTCTGGCTCCATCCTCACCGCCCCTGGTCACAGCTCCCCTGAAACTACTGCACAAAAGATACAGGCAGCCTCCCCTGAGTTTTCTCTTTCCTGTCTTTTGGATTTCCATCCAACCCATCCCACCTTCCTTTCTGCACCCATTCTCAGCCTCCACATCAGCCCTTCCCACATTCTTTCTTGATTCTCTTCTGCCCCCTTGAGCTCCTCATCCTTTGCCAGCCCCTGCTTGGTCTTCACATTGTCCCAGCCCTTCTGGCTATGCAGCACCCCACACACTACCCAAGTGCCCCTGCATCCAATCTTCTTCCTCTCCAGCCACCCATTTTATCAAAAAGTCTCTACTAGATGGTGGGACAGAGCGTTGAATATGATATTTCATACTAAGAGGTGAATGGCTGATAACCTTTCCCCCACTCCAACACCCAATGAGTGGCTTTGCAGGTGGTACAGAAAAGAAATTTAGGAGCAGAGAATTTCTCTCAGTAAAAGATAAGTCTCCTTTCTGGGGAGAGAAGAGAAAGAGAGGAGTCTATGCCCATGACCCTCATTTACCTGCTCTTCCAAGGGGAGAAGCTGATCGGCTTTTTAAGCAGATCCTGACAATGGCCATTCTTGCTTTTGTCTTTTACTCAGTAAACATCTCTTGAGCACCTGCTGTGTGCCAGATTCTGGGAATTATGAAGAAGGGAAACAGGGTCCTAACCCTGATGGGTTGCATGGTGTTGGGGAGAGTGTGGGGAAGCTCACGAGAGGTCGGGGGCAGAGGGAAGAGGGAGAGGGGTGTGCAGGGGTTGTCTTGAAGGCAACGCCATGACAGTGGGATTCTGAGGGCGTGACAAGGCCAGACAGAGGAAGGTGTGCCTGAATGGACAGGTGGTAAAGACAGTGGGGCAGAACTGCAGAAACAAGAACAAAATGGCTTGTTTGAAGAACACAATAGCCATTCGTTTTGTAGGTTTTTAACACTTAAAATCAACTTCATACTTCCAGACCTTTGCTATGAAACATGACCAGCCATGAGGCAAGGACAGTACGTGTTCCTAAGTGGGTCCTAAGGGCACCCCATTTGTGCTGGCATCTACTGCCACCTTTTGTAAACTACATGACAAAACCTTGTACAAACCAGTAACTGCGTATTGCCATTTCAAGAGTCCCATCATTGGTTGCATTAAATGCTTTCCCAGAGAACAAGTTAGTTATTTGGGTTTCAAATGAAATATAAACATAATTAAACAAATGCATTTATATTTTATGAATGATGTCCAAGATCTGCTAATGTTACACAAAATCCAAGCATATCCCACAAGCTTCTCTGCTCCCCAGTGTCTACCTAGTTTCTATCTTTCAGGGTTTTATGTCTTAGAATGGACACTTTAATTCTGCTCTGAGATTTGAGGTCTCTGAGCCAGCCGCAAAAACAGCGAGAGACTGTGCATTGAGGT